TCAAAATCCATAATGCTTCCAGGAGTATTCTGCAGTAAGTTATATGTCTCAATATGTTTTTCTTTCCCAGCTCTTAAGTTCATGCTTAGTTGGTTTAAATTTTTTAAATATGATAACTAAAGGTTACTGTCCCCAAGATTTTAAAGCCTCTCACAAGGTGATGTTTTAAAGATTAAAAGTCAAGAGTTTCATAAATTTTTAAAATAAAATCCTGTCATTCAACAAAATTTTAAAAGAAAATTTTAAAAATTCACAGAATCGAATTCCAGCCCCCTCGTCTTTATCACAACACCCCTCCAAGTGGTCACATAGCCTGTTTAAATACTCCCGGAGGCTGAAAGTTTATAACTTCACAAGGGTGCCCCCTCCACTGTTTGACAATATTTATACTTCATCTGTATGTTTATTCAAAACCCACTGCAAATTTTGCCTATTGTTTCTAGTTCTGTCCTTGAGAAAGAGGATAAACGAGTTTTAGCTCTCATTTCGTAGTGTTTCTAAGTCTCATTTTAAAGTCTTGGTTTCAAATACATTTTAAGAACAGTTCCAAGAATCCAAAGAAAAGGAAATGCAAAATATCATTTCTTTCATATTCCTATTCTCACTTCATATTTCCTAGAACTAAACATTGCTGGCTAAAGGGGGACTGGCCCAACACAGGCCTGATTGAACCCTCAGTGCAGGACCTGGGAGTTCTCCTGCACAGAACTTATCCCACTGGAATTTGTCTTTTCTCCTAGACTGTCAACTCCATGAAGTCAAGAGTTTTGTCTCTCGCATTCATTCTTATATCCTTAGTATGGTGACCACGTCAGAATAAGTGATAAATATATTTTTAAAATAAATAATTAACTACAAGAATGTCTGATTGATTCACCAACATATGATTGCATGCAGAATGACTGAATACATATATAAATAGATTCTGGAATCTGTCCTTCATGAGGATACCATCCAATATTCAAATCTCTACTTTAAAATGTAATGCTTCAACAGCCTAAGAATTATTTTTTCTGCTTTCTCTTCGAGACCAGTTCAGGGACATTCAGTGACTCTCAGTGTTCTGGGAGAGCAGGTTGTCCAAGGGCACTGCTCCTTGTTTAGTTCCTGTTTTAAAGTTTCTCATTAACCTGTGGGGAGACAGCCTAAAATCCACAGATGACCACTAGGAGTATAACACGTATAAAATCCAGTCATCCACGTGACTTCAAGGGGCCACATTTTGTGTGTGTGTGTGAGGAAGATGAGCCCTGAGCTAACATCCGATGCCAATCCTCCTCTTTTTGGCTGAGGAAGATTGGCCCTGGGCTAACATCCGTGTCCATCTTCCTCTACTTTTTATGGGACGCCGCCACAGCATGGCTTGACAAGGGGTGCATCGGTGCGCGCCTGGGATCCGAACCTGCGAACCCTGGGCCGCCGAAGTGGAGTGCAGGCACTTAACTGCTACGCCACAGGGCCAGAAGGGGCCACATTTTTTACATCATTGGATGTGGAAGAAGCTGCCATGATTGTGTATTTTCATGATGTGACTAAGACAGAAATTTGCTAAACCTATCTGTTAGATTACTTCTCAGAATAAGGCTTGTTATAACTCTATGAGATGATCCAGGTCAGTGAACATCTATTTGTCCTTTGGGCAAAATGGATACTTGTCCCAGAGGGTAATTTCATTTTGATCCATTTTGAGCATAATATCTGGGGAAGATTTGGGTATCTGTATGACAAAGTTATTGAAGGTAGTGGCAGAAAGTTCAGGAACAGGACTATTGCCATGGTCAGAAAACTGGAAGGACTAGAGATGAGTGATGACTAGGACACAGAAAAGAGATGAAGGCAAAGTCAATCTGAGAGGCTTGGCAGAGAAAAACCTGTAAGACTTATAACCAGCTGAACATGGAACTCAGAGAATGAGAAAGCCGAGATTCAGAGACGGCTCTGTTAAGACCTGGGCAGAAGCTATGTTATACTAAATAAATGTTAAAGATTAATCAGAAAACTCTCTAATAGATGTTCTACTTTTTTTCCCTAAGATGAAAATAATCCATTTAAGTAGAGCAATTAGTAGTTTTATTTGATGGTTATGATGAGTCATTTTAACAATGATCTATTTTACTTTTAAATAGCATAATTGAATAAAATATCATGCTGTTCTCAGTGATTTCATTAGCCACTCCTACTGGAAGGAAGCCAAGCTACTCAGACCCCAGCCCATATTCAAGTTACTGCACCTTCCTGGCAGTAGCTTGCCCTAATTAAATATCATTAGGCAACGCACTGAGTGTCAGCTCTGTAAACTCAGCCTTGTAAAGAGATGTCAGCATCACAGAGGAAGGAACTCTCCACTTGAGAGCCAAAAATAGAGTAGACAAGTCTCTGGGCTCAGGTAGGTTTCATGCTTCATGAAAGGTAACATAAACAATTATTGAGGCCTCTTGGGCATGGATTTTATGACTCAGGCAATAACAAATACCATGTGCAATTGGAGTGCTGTAGTAATAGAACTAAGCTTAGTAATAGTAGAAACAACAAAGAACAAATGAAAATTTTCTGTTACCTTATCTTTGTCTGTTGGTGTTAACTACACATATATAGGTGGTTGGCATGCTTCTGTTTTCTCTTTTTTAAACCTATGCAATATATGTGTGTATACTGTATATACACATATATGTATACAAATAAATACATTTCTATATGTGTTGGGGGGCTTGTGTATGCACAGAGTATTTCTGACATAACATACAAGCAACAATGTTTATCAGTGTTAACACTTTTATCTCTGGGGAACAGATCTGAGAACACTACAACAGCACAGAGGAGCACCCTGACTCTGTATGTGATACTCATCTATGGTATTAGAACTTTTTATAAAAAGCATGTTCTACTTTTATAACTAAAAAATCTAAATATTTTAAATAAAGTTGACATGTAAAAAAATGAAACTGCTGCCCCACATTTTCTAAGACATGAATATTATTAGGAGTCTAATAAATAAATTTCAAAATCCTTTAGGCAAAGAAGCTGTTTCTAGGTTCAAATGAAAATTAACTACCTGTTGAGTATCTCTCAATGCAAACAGATCTGCCTAAGCACCAAGGCCACCTATCATGAAAGGATAGGGAGCCACTGGGTATGTGAGGCTTTCTATCAGTCATCACTAACTTCATGGCTATGTATTTGCCAGCAAAATTCTCTGTTTCAGAAATTGCATTGGTTTTAGGTTATAACCTCTATAGAGGTAACCAGAACTCTCAAAGTCAAATTCCCAGCTGTAGTGTTTATTTCCTCCTTGGCTTCTGTTTTTTATCAAGTCCTTGAATGTGATAAAGCATAGCTTAGTTGGGTTCTGTTTCATTAAATGTGTAATACTGGAATATAAGCCTTCAAAAATGACCACCTTTAAGGTTATGTGATGTTGTCTTTTCATAACTCCCCATTTCTCATCCCTCTATCAGCCTAATCTAAAAATGGAATCCCAGAGCAGATAGTGCCACCACACAAAGGGCTCTTCTGAGCCAAACACAGAGGAAGGTCAGCTTGCTTAGTCACTCTTTGCAGTACTGTCTCAGTAGGTTTTGCAGAAAATGATATTTCTATAAGTATATAGTTTAATGTCTTTCAAAGTTATATGGGTTTTCAGACCAGAGCTAGACCATTTGCTTCTACGCTTTGTGATGGCCCCTTAAAGGGGATGCTATATTGTAAGCTGAGTTGAAATTCCGGGAGCATATGGCCTTAGCTCTTTCTGAAGCCCAGGACTGTCACATGCAGCGATCAATTAGAAATAAAAATGCTGCAGGAGGTAGATTTAATGTTGAAGCCATTAAACACATAACTGTTCTGCTCATTTTTGATGTTCTTTTTTTGGAAAGCCCAGGTCCTGGGGGTGTTTGCTTTTTCAAAGAGATATTTGCCTTGGTCATATATCGTTCCCCATCAATAATGTAGGATTTTCATGTTCTTTAATGTTTTTGGGGTATTGGGGGGTGGTTTGGGAAAAATTCCCAAGTGTACTAGGACCCCTACAGTAGTCAGTACCTCATCTATTTTCACACCAGGAATTTACTTGTGACTTCAACTGGAGCTATTTGAATTGGCCCTTAGCCACCTGTACCCTAAATTTGCTCTGGCCTGCTTTGAGCATCACAGAGAAATATGAGACGGTAGTTGGTGAAAACAGAGTCCTTCATCCCAGCAATGGCAGCTGGGTAACTGACTGCGTGGCCAAATGTCTGGCTCAATCTAGGGAATGGAAGGCACCATTCAAAGCCAGATTCTAGTCTGTTTTAAGGATTATATTTCTGTCATCACAGCATCTCCTTGACAGTTCCACCAACTGAAAAACTCCCAGCAGAAGCCCAGTGATTAAATTCTCCTGGAGCATATTTTTTCCAGCTTCTGGAAACAATCTACTGTAGGCCCTCCTTCCCTCACCATAAAACCCAAAAGATAGTTCCATTCCTAAGACTGATATATGGAAATAGATTACTCACAACCAAGCCATTCTCCCACAGCTGGAAATAATGTCAACAATTTGATTTTGAAACGACTGAGAGACTCAGTCCCCATCCACTGAGAGGCTATTCCTACTTAATACAGTACATCATTACCTGTACTTTCTAAATGACATGCGAGCAAATGTGATTCAGAAAAGCAATGCAACACCACTGGACCTTTAAATTAAATGTAGAGAAACGATCATTTATGTTCACATGCAGAAACACTAGGGAAACACTTTGTGTCTAAGAGCAAAATGAGAAAAAGCTCAGAAGACATCAGTTTTAGTCCGAAGCAAAACTCTTCATCACCTACTTTCGTTTCTGACTTATACGCAAGCCAAGGAAATATTTTCACGGAAAGTTAGAAGACTTTTTCTAACTTTTAGAAAGTTAGAAATTTAGCCAGAAATTTTAGTTATCACAGAGGCCCTCACAGAGGTACCTGTAAATACCAACTGATCTGTGGCAGGATTAGAAGAGACATTTCTGGCTAGGCTCCTACAGTGGTTTGTACTAAGAACTTTCTGGTAGGGGAAAATAGAGAAAAGAATATATTAGACTACCCCACACATGAAAAATGGGACCAGAGTGCTATCAGGTATGACCTTAGGACCTCACAAGTAATAGGTGAGGCATCCATCAGAAAGATCCAGCATCCCGGAAATCTGGCAGTGAAATTCATTAAATGAGGCTTTGTCCTTGGGACAAGCTTACTTGGGTTAATGAAAACCAAAAACTTAGAAGGAAAACCTAAAATGGGTCCCCTCTCACCGCTGTACCCAAGAGTCTATACTTATTAGCCTCTGTGCAACATTCCAGTGACTGTTTTCTTGCTTAAGTGAGTTATTTTGACATATGTTGCTACTTTTGCTTTTGCTGTTTTATTTCAAGTTGATTAGCCTGCTTTCTATTATCACTCAAAAAAGTCTAGAAGTAAATGCTGTCATAGTGCTCCATTTCCTGTAACCACAGTTCCCACACATGGTTTTCTGCTCTGCAATTTAAACAGCACTTAAAGTTGAGTGGTCCTGCAAACTAGCTATGGGCCTTTGTTTAATCCATTGCTCATCTCTATTGCAGCAAAAGGCAAAGATGGCTACACATAGGCAGTATGGAGCTGAACAAACAGCCCAAGCCGACCCAGTCCTTGATGGCTATTGGCAACAGCCCGTGACAGGGGCTGACCCCTGGGTGACCTCTCTGAGGTACCTCTGCAGACAGACAACTCCCATGCCACCTCACCATACCTCAGAGATACAGCACACAAGTTGACATTATCCATGTGGCACTTCCCAGCTCCTATATAATGAAAAGGGATTGGGGAGGGATGGGAGACGTGCAAAAAGTCACTAAGCAATCTTGGTATATTTAGTCTTGGAAATTGAAGCGGTTTGACAATTATATTTCTGCAGGACAATCAGAGGGTTTTAAAAGACCTTCAGACAGTCTTGTGGTCTTCAAAGACTGAATGTAAAGAGAACAGATCATATCATATTTTTTAAATTGATGGGTAATTACAGTAGAATTGTGCAGTACAGTGGAAAGATGAATGCATAGGGGCAGAGGGAGCAGTGCCATTTATACAAATATCCTTTGAATCTTTAAAATAAATTATACAGGTGAACACAGAAGTTCATGCTACTTGCTGGAAGCAATAAGGATCAAATTTTGTGGAACTCGTATTCCACAAATCTCCAGGTATCCCTGCCTCATCCTCAGTGGGCTATCATGTTCTGTTGTACATCTTGGTAGCCCTTAAAAACTGGTGGCATGGTCTCAGATAGATTCTTGCAGGAGACAGATTCATGGATTCCATCAGCTTCTTCCAGGGGAGCTGCCCGATCGCCGGGAAGGGCACAGGTGATATGCTCACGCAGGTTCTCGTTGCCTGTCTACTAGAGTCAAACAGCAGTTTCCAGGTCCTCATGGCCAATGATCTTATAGTTCAGGCGGCTTTCTAGGTAAGCAGCCAAATCTGGGTCTCCAGCCTGCTGTGCTCTGTCTTGAGGTGTCTTACCCTAGAGGTAACAGTGAAAAGGAAAGAGACACAAACACCTGGGATGAGATTAAAAAAAAAATCACAGAAACAGAGCTACTCAAAGATTTCTCACTAATAAGGATCTTTCCACGTCTACTGTTTCAGAGTTCACAAGACACTTTGAAATCTATCATCTTATATAAGCATCACATCGAACATGTGCCATAGGTAAGTTGAAGAGAAAGAGATGATCACTTCTGACAGGTGTGGCTTACATCTAAGGAAACGGAGGTTCACAGAGTAACTGAGCGCACAGAAGGAAACTGTGTGGCACAGTGAGTTTTGGAACCCAGATCCTTTTTGTAAGAAGGGGGAGAGAAATCACTGAATAGATAAATAGGGAAGCAGGCAATCTGATTTCTAGTTTGAACTCTTTCTATTATACTAAAGTCTGGGAAGCAACAAGCATCCCTTCTGAGAGGAAGGGATGCTCATAAACGATCTAAAAGGGTTTCTTTGTTGGTTTCAAAGACTTCAGTTAAGTTCTCCCCAATTTAGAACTATCTCATCTCTTCAAAAAGTGAGTTAATTTCTGACTATAAAAGTGATGGATGTCGATTAAAGAAATCTTGGGAAAATAGAAAAGCATAAAGAAGAAAATAAAAATCACCAGTAATTCCACTACACTAAGATGACCTCTGTTAACCTTCCATAGATTAACTATTTCATCCTTTTCTACAGCTATATACATTAATTATTTTTATAAAAATAAAACGATACTTTGTTTATATATTTTTATATAACACGCTTTTTCACTTAATAATATACCAAACTTTTTTGTCATTAAATGTTGTTCTACATCATTTTAAACGATCATGAAATTTCTTGCAGCATACTACAGTGCTATAGGTACATTTGTACACACAATATTTTTGAAATGAGGCCAATGAATAGAAGTCAGCAATAAAAGGAGGGAGGGTCTCCATTCTCTTGAATGCTTATAGATATTACTTAACACTCCTTGAAACTTCTAATTTCTGTTCATTGATACAGTTTTATATATCTAAAAAGTGATAATACATTCTAAGGAAAGGGTAGAGGCATGATCACTGCACCAAAGAAATAGCTCCATGTATAAATGCACAAGAGATTTACAAAAATTATCAAAGACTTCTCAGGCTCCATCTCAGCTATTGCAAAGGAGAGTGTCAACCCCAATTAAGCCTGCTCCTAGTAGCCTACAAGGGTATGTGGGGTAAAAGATTAAAGGGAAGTAACAAGGGCTCTGGACTCTGTCTAAAATTTTACTTACTTGGTTGGGATTTAATGTTCAACCATTAGCTTAAAAGTTCCTATTACAATTTTATTCAACTTGTTTACAGTATTAATAAACTATCTTATCTTTACTTCAATATTAATGAGGTTGGAATTCAGAGAGATGGGCTGCAGTGGGCCTTAGTTGTTTTTTAAGGAACTGTTCTACAAAGAGAAATTCTCAAGATATTGCTTCTCTCCAAAAAATTCCAGGAGAAGATCTAGTCACAATTGTCATATTAGTTTTCACCTAGCATCAAATTACAGAATGGAAAAATTAAAGGATCCCTTAAAAGGATGAAGCTAACTATATTACTTCAAATGGTAAGATCTCTAGAACATAACATTGGGTGAAAAGTGATACACTAATGCATACAGTATGACTTTATCTACTTAAAAGAAAATGAGAGAGAAAAACAGACATATTCACATGTGAAGAGAGATCATTAAAATTTTAATAGCATATAGGTTGAGGTTGTGGGATTTCTAGCAATTTTTACTTTTGTATTTTTTGCATTGCTAGAGTTTTCTATGTGAGAATGTACTATATTTATAATCATAAAATAATAAAGTTATTTGCATTTTTTTAAAAAAGCATACACATACATAACACAAAATAGGAAGAAATCTCAAGGAACATTGAGCCCATTTATCTGATGCAGAAACTTAGAAAGATAAAAAAGAGCAGTCTATTCAGGGGCCAGGTCTCCTGCCCAGTCTTTTGTTTGTCCCTCTATTTCAGGTTGCTCCTCCCGTTCTTTTTACTGTATCATCTGAGTTGAGTGTAAGACCAGTTTTTGTATGATAAATAGGCAATTGGCGAGCTGTTATCCCAGTGGCTCCAGCAAGGCCAACTCTTCCTCCACTGAGGAGATCATGGCCTCCACTGGTCCTGCCTACATGGTTGTGTTTCTCAATCAGGTTACACATCAAAGCATTTTTGTGTGTAAATATCATCTGGGAAGAATATTACACTGAGCAATTATCTGCCATTTGTAATCGTATACCCAATTAGCTAACCAGACAGGTAACAGACCAGCTGGAAACCAGCACACAGGTTAAGGTGTTTGATAGCCCAAGGAGGAATTGAGGCAGCCAGGACCTCAGTCAGAGAGCAAGGATCTGGTGGGTTGCAAAGGAAGTGGAGACTCACGCAACGCAACTGGCCCAGAACTGGCTCAGAAAGGAGCAGTCCACACAAGAGAGAAAGTTATTTCACACTGGGCACTGCAGTCTGAGGAAACCCCAGGGCGAAAACTGCACATAAGTAGATGCTCATCACTGAAATAAGTCTAATGAGGCTCAAGTCATTATTAGGCTTCTAAGTCATTTGTCTGTTTCTCGCCTACATTCACTGGCCCAAAACTTAGGTTACTCGATACCTGCCTCCTGAAGTCCTCACCTATATATTAGAATTCTTCTCTGGAATCCTCTATAGTTAAGTGGTTTGTCCTTTCTTGGAGCCTACCCAGGGTGCTTTAAAACTCTCGGAGCTTATCAGGTTCCTCTATGGGGTTGATCTAACTTCTCTCTCTCTCTCTATCTCAGGCTGCAGTCCGAGGTCAATGTTACTAAGCTACAACTCCTCCTTTACTGCAGCTTTCAACTCTTCCCTTGGGTGTCCTCTGTAAATTGGAACAACTCATGGTGCAGCCTGATCTCCCATCCTGGCAGTGACTGGTAATCACTTTGGTATCCATATATGGGACCACACAAATCAGATTTTAAGCCATACTGGATTAAGTAGCTGAAGGAGAAATCCCAAGAAGTTTCTCTGTAGCCAAGCCAATATCTTTCGAACATGCTCCTAACCCCTTCTCCTAGGGCTTTGAACCTCACCTCCCCACAACTTGGCTGCTGGCATTCGACAGGAGGAGAACCCCAAAGTCCCAAGCCCAGCACGTCCAGAGGTTTATAAAGCCCCATAGGCAAGCACACACCCTCCCTTTGTGCTTATACATTTAAACTGCAGTTTCTCTAAATGAAGCACTTTATTTTTTCCTCCTTTTTCCAAAGCCCCAGGCACTTCCATAAGCACAGAAAGGATGCCTTTGCTATGGGCACAGGCGAAGACAATGGTGCCGGCGATCCTGCCCAGTGGGAGGATGTTTGCACTCGCTCATCAAGTTACCTTGGAATCCGTCTTTCTCAGAGATGCTCCTGCGTCTACCAGAAGCTGGCACACGGCCCGGTTCCGCTGGCAGGCAGCCTTGTGCAGTGCAGTCTCACCCCTAAATCAAAGATGAAATGGGAAACCACCCATAAAGGGGATGGGGGCAAGGGTAGGGGTGAGGGCTGCAGGGAAGGGGCTGAGGGTGACATCCTACCCCTGCTGCTGATGTCCTGTGCTCCTTGGCCTCTTTCCCTATCTGTGCTGAGACCAAGGCTGCAGGACACATTCTGGGGAGGTAGGTGAGGGGCTGGCTAAAAATGCCTTGAGTTAGTCATCAACTAACCATAATATCTAACTCCAGCCTCTTTTTCAAACAGTGTTGGTTAACTAGGTTGAGTGTTTTTGTTTTAAACTACTACTGTTTGATTTAGGTAATACTCAATGACACTACTAAATAGACTGATGTGTGTAGATGTGTCTGAACACTGTGAAGCAATTCTCTCTGTGGATATATTTGGGCAGAGCATGAGGGGCAAGAGATGAAGCACACAGGGAGCAGCGATGGAGAACCATGGGCCCTTCAGACATATCACACGGTGCTTGCTAGACCACCATCTGACCCTCGGAGGAATATCTCCTGGGAACTCAACTTCAAAGAACCAGTCCAATACCCACTCTACCCTACCTACTGATTCCACGTTGAGTGGCAGGTGGAAGGGGAGGGACAGCCACAGAGGATATCTGGGAAGCACAGGGAGACTCTGGGAGAGCTCAGGAACCAGAGCTCTCCCCTATAGGCGGCAGGCCTGAAGCCAGCCACTCAGTATGGGAAGCAGGCAAAAAAAAGTGGCTATTTCCCCCTGCTCTAAAAGGCAGGATAGGGAGGAGGATATTCCCATTCTGAGTCAAAAGTTGAAAAGATGCTTAATGCCAAAGTGTTTCATGGAAAATCAAAAGACGTCCTTAGAGAAGGCAAACTGGAGTAAGTGACAACCTTGCCAATAGCATGGGCACTATGCAGACAAGCTCTACACCACAATGGACAGATTTTCCACATCTAGTAACTCACAGCTAGACCCCTTCCTTCCCACTCATCCTCCATTCTATTCATTCCTACTTTTGCTCCTCCATACCTGCTTAGCCACTCCCCACCCGGGTCCACTCCACCCTGCCCATCTTTATCCCTTTGCAAATTTCTTTGAAGTGCTCTAGTAGCTCCATATGGCTTTCAGGGTTAGATGTGTAGCTTTTCTTTGTTCCTATTTGGGGAGTAGTAGCTATTTTGCTAGGAATAAGAAAGTTGAAAGCAAACATTATCAGTCTGGGGACCATCCCAGAGTTGATGACTTTCTCAATCAGGGTTCCTCATCTGAACCACAGAACATGAAAATGGTTGGAGTTACCATGGTCTCAGTTCTCCAGTGGTTGTATATAACTTGTTCCATTCAAGACTCAGCAGAGAGGCTTCATTACACACAAAGGATGCCTTAGGGCATTAGGGCTTAATTTTTTCACAAACCCCAGGTGAGAAAGAGTAAATAAAAAGGTAAATATATTTATTTAGACTTCTCATGCACCAGTGCAGAAGTGTCTTGCTTGTAGGAAGCTCTAAATGATGACTAGCAATGACTGTGCATGCAATCATTATGACATTTGTCATCAATTTCCATTGTGTAATTTTTGGTTTAGAAGATTAGCTCCACACAGTTACAAATACAATTGAAAGTGGACTTTTTATCACTGACATTAAAATAATCCATTGTATGCCCCAAAGACAACATTCTTCTCCTAGATACGTTCTGAAGAAAATAATCTAGACTGTAACGAAAGGCAACACTCACGTTTCGCTGTCTGCCATATCCAATAACTCAGAAGGTCCTAAATAAGAGGAAAGCAAGATGCCCATCAAAAATAAGTTAAAAAACTAACCATTAACAAAAAGTCTATAGTCACAGAATTAAAATGCCTTGGAAAACTGAATAAAAAAGAGTCACTTGGTGATAGGGATAATAAGACCACCCGACCCCCCTCCTCACCAAAAAAGAAAGGATTCCTCTACCTCCCCATCACTAATCTCTCAATCACCATCCAACATGTGCAAAATGGGAGCTACAAAACAATGCCATGGCTTCTCCCTTCTTGCAGCTTTCAATCAAATTGAAGAAATAAAATCAATTGGAACAGAACAAGTGAGAAATAATTAAGTGGCTACCTTGGGAGAAAGAGACAATCGGGTGGGCTTTAAGGATTGTTTCTCACTCTCCAGCGACAGGTAGTTGGGGACGGGGTCTTATGTAGCATAATGTTAAAGCTACAAGAAATCATAGATATCATCCAGTAATACCCTTATTTTAGAAATAGGATAAAATTCTATTTTTCATAAAGTTTCCCTTCCAAGACCTGGAAGAAATGTTATTCATAAATGTCAAATGATTATAGACGCTTCATCAGGAATTGAAATGTTCTGTGAGTCTGTGCATTCACAATGTTTGACTTGTTCATGAATTAATTTATTAAACTGCAAACACGACTTGGAATATCCACCTTTCCACCTTCTGCACCACTTCTTTTCTCCCAACTCTGCCTGCAATCCCTTACCCTATTCAGCCTGCAGGTATCAGCCGAGACGCATTTCCTCCACAAAGCCCCCTATGACGCCACTCCTAATATTGCATTAAATGTCCTGCCTATGTGCTCCCTCACTTTGTGTACTAATTCTGTGTCCTATAACTGGGAGGGTAATATAATTTGTCATCCAAATTGAGACTATTCCACACAAGTGGGGTATATGATCACCTTACTGATCATGACATTTAAACCATATTAACATCACCTTCTGATTTGCCACTCTCCACAATTAGATTCTGGTAAACCCCTTGAAGTTGTGGCCTACGCCTTGTCCACCACTGTGTCCTTCCTTGGTGCCTGGCATAGAGCCTGGCGCCAAGCAGATGCTTAAATGCTTGGTTGAATGAATGAATAAATGTGCTTGGAAATGTCAAACACGGTTTTAGGTATTGAATATTTTAGTCTTTAGAAATACGATCCTGTTGATTTGCTTTCTATATTGTTGGATATTATTATGACTGAAAATTTATTTATATGTTTACTTCTTACATAAGAAGAAGAAAGGGAAGAAGAGGTTAGGACTTTCCAACCATGAAAATCACTGGACAAGAAGAAGATGACTGAGATGTTATGGGACCTTCACAATCCTCCCTGTCATCCAAGAGCTAAATCATCGTCTTTGCCTCCTCTCTTTCACATCTGGTCATCAAGGCAGGTGAATTTTCCCTTGCAGTGTCTGTCCTATTTGTCTTTCTTATTTGTCCTATTCGACAAATAGGCCTCCTAACAGGTCTCTGCCTGGAACATAATTAGCATGTGGAAACTGTTACTAGGAAAAATCAAAAGGTCTTATATCATTTAGATTTCCAGGTTTCCAATTCATCATATTTATTACTTACTCCCCAGTATTTAAACATTGAAGTTCACAGTCTTTCACTCAGAACTACCCTCCCTCAATTTGTTCCCAAGGTTCCATTTTTTCACGTTAGCTAAACTGGTAACTGTACCATCACCCAAATATTTCTCAGGCTCTCTCAGCTCTAAAAGCTTGTTCTCGCCACTCTCCCTATCCAGAACAGCCTTCCCCTTTCTAGCCACATCCCTAAATCTTGCACATTCTTTAAAGCCCAGTTTGTGTCAAGGTGCTCTGCAAAGATCACCTTTGACAGAAGAAATCTATTCCTTCTCTGAACTCCCATTACACTTACAGGGTTCTACCCTTGTACCATGTATTTGCTTTTCATTTGTATGCCTTGTCTCCTTAAATAAATTATTCTAAATCCCTTGAATGTAAGAATCTTTTATTACTTTTCGTATCTCTCTGGCATCTACCTTATATTAAGGATTCAACAAAGATTTAAGTCACTTATTTCTGTTCCTCAGCCCTGTGGTTCTAAGGAAACATGAATGATAATCCGCCCCACACACACACCCAAAGAAGTACAAAGCAGTCTAGTGCGATGATGGAGAGTGAGGGTTCTGGAGCTGAACCTCTTTGGCTCAAAATTCCAGCTTGACCTGCCACTTACTAGATCTTGGGCAAGTTCATCTCATCTCTCCGTCTCTTGATTTTCACATATGTAAAGTAATATTGATAATAATATTTATCTCACAGGATTGTTGTGAGGTTTCACAAATTAATACAAGTTATGTGCTTAAAACAGTAGCTGGCACACTACACACAATGCCTAAAGTTTAGATATTATTAAGTGTTCTAGTCTCTGTTTAATACAGCAGGGTACACTAAGTCAAGATGTTGGAACATCAGTGAAGGAAGAAGATGTAAAAGGATCACGTCACTCCCACTTTACATTTGAAGCCACCTGTTGACTCAAAGTATACGTCCTGAGAAGCAAGTACTCCAAGCCTATTCAATTGCTAACTGGGCCTTCTCTACAGGTCAGGAGCAAGAAGGTTTACAGTGCCCAGCGGTCTTCTTAAAGAGCTACTGTCATCTTCAGCAAATCTTTCAAGCCATTCATTTTGAAAGGAATTCCACAAACATGAGCAGCCTAGCCTCACTAGTAGTCTGTTCTCATCATTACTGCTAACTACAAAAATATTTAGGCAACAGAGGCCTTGTCTCACTTCTCCTTTATTGAGCACTGTCATTCAGAGCTGCACCCATGGCAGGTCCAGGGACTCCGGGGTCCACGCTTCCACGCAAGTGAGGAGACACTGAAGCAGTTTAACCGGTGCTAAAATGGCAATCGTTTGACACTCTGAGGCGAGGACAAGGAAGAGAAAGGACCTCGCTCCTCAAATTTGTGACAAGAATCACTATAAATGCAGCCAACCCAGAACAATGCCAGCGCTGATTATCCAATACGTGAGTCAGGCACGCCCGTAGCCGCTTACCATTTCCTCCTGCTCTCCCTGTAGTCCTCTGCAGCTGACAGAGTGAGAAAGAGCTGCTGATGCTAAAACCAGACACTGTTCTCTTCATTAACATCTAAAGAAACTCCAGGTAAAGGTTTCGGGAGTGGCTCTGGAATGATGGACTTTTAACCCAAACTTTCCTTATCCTCCCATTGATACATAGAATCACAAAACAGCAGAACATTTTGAACACTGGCAGGCAAACAGCCAATGAAGAGGGAAGGGCGGCGGCCGGCTGCTTACGGATAGGAGGAGGGAGCTATTTTTAATAGTACAGGAACATTTTCTAATAACTTTTTTAACCTGCTTTAAATTAACTGCGTTTGCACAGCGCTAGTAAGAAAGGAGTTGCAGAGGAGGAAACAAGGAGAGGAGTCAGCACCAAGGGCAGCCTACAAGGCTGTAGTTTCCCTCCCTATTTGCACCTTCAGTGACCTATTGGGAGCTACTGTTAATAGTACATCGTACTGTTTAATAGTACCCTGTGCGGTTTAGTAGCATTCGCGTAAGATTTTTTCTTTGGGGTTGGCGGGGGGGGGGGGGGGGGGGGGGGGGGGGGGGCACAAGGGGTGAAGGGAGTCATATATGTGGTGATGGACAAACAAAAATGTACAACAACTATAAGGACGTGCAACTATGACGTACAACTATCTACTGGGGGTTGGGGTGGGGGGGGGGGGGGGGGGGGTTGGCAAGAGAAACAAAAATAATTAATAGAGACCACAAAAATTCTCTTGAAATAAAAATGTATAAAAAAATAGCATCTATGAATTTTGGAAAGTTAATTTGAGTCTCACTAATAAGGGAGAGAACAGGAGAAAGAGAAAAAATAAAGATGATGGAATTCTTTCAATATATATCAAGGGTGAACATTTGGGTTTGGGGCTTATTTTATATTTTACGTACACTTATGTTCTGATTGTGGATGCCATGCCATCTGCCCTAAGGAATACCATTAAATTGCCAGCAGTGAACTCACAATTATTCCCTGAATATAAAAGGAAGTCTTGGCTCTCTGTCCCACCCAGGGGTTACTACAATGTCTGCAGTCCATCCTGCAGCTGACGTGCACCAGAAAACAACTGTTAAATCCCTACTGAAGGGACATTGGTGCAAATTTCTCCACGAAATTTTCAGAGGAAGACGATCGCTGCCTTCCACAGTCCCGCACCCGCTGTCACTGGAACCCCGCATACAACACTCACATCCAGCTACCCTGCATTGTGGCTGTTTATCCATGTTTCACTTCCCTTGCTGGGTTTTAGGAACACGGAGGACAGAGACCATATCTTATATTGTGTATGAGTTTTGGTAAGTCACCGAACTTCACTCTGCTTCAGTTTTTACCACCTGTCAAATAGAGATAAGAGAACGTACTGTGTGGGGTTCTTGTAAGAGTGAAATGTGTTAATACATATAAAGCATTTAGAACAATAAAGGTTAGCGGTGATTATTACTATAACTTTTTCTCAAAAGTGCATGGGACAGAATTAAATTTTTTTAATGAATTAAAGATTTTAAAATCAAGATGGATCCCAGCCAACATCAGATTTTTTTTCTGAGAAAGATCCATAAATAGAACATGGATTCAAAAGACTGTATTATATGGGAAATGGTCTGAAAACTAAGGGACTATACACATGAGTATTCAGGTGAAGGTCAGGGAATACGAAAGGAAGCAAAACTCCACAAATCTCCCGGCATGAGAAAGTGAACACGTGGTCTGTAGTCAAGCCTTCCAAATGGCAGCTTTGCTGCCCAGCCTCACTCCTCAGCCTCTTCCATTGGACACCCTAGTTCTTGCCGGTGCAACGTTATCATCAATATTGTACTTGTATTATATATGATGTGTCTTTTGTCACACACATACTTTAATTTGCTTCCCACACCAAGGCATCCAAATCCCCTTTGCTATTCCTTCCACCTCCCCA